AATTAAAAAAAAAAAAAAAACAGTTAACCTAGCAATGCTGTTTTAAGAAAACTCTTGCAGAAGCATATTTAACTACAGAGATATAGAGGAGCACAGCTGAAAATTAAAACTGGTATAATGAAATTATACATATATTGTCTTACAAATGTAAATTGAGTTTAGTTTATTGTTTTCACTGAGGGTGGACAATATGAAATGGGTTATTCAATTGTTCTGATCTATTATTAGAAGTATAATCTTCAAATACTTCCTGAATTCTTTATGATTCCAACTAAATTATTTGATTTGTTCTACTTTCTTAATTTGTCCTAATTTGTTATTCCATTTTGTTATTCCATTCTAATTTATTGTCCTATTTGTTATTTGTTATTGTACCAATTTGTCCTAATTTTGTTATTCGGTAATACAAAACAAGAGACAATATCTTAAAACGTTTCTGTTGAAAACCCTTATGTGTATAATTTCAATTTGTGAAGCCACTGGGAATTAGGAGCGATAATAATATTCAGGGAAAGATTTAGCAACAGTTAATGGTCACACAGACATTAACCTAAGAACACTGCTGCACACTCCTCTGTCCTCCCAGGGCCCCTAGTCAATTCTTATATTAAATATTGGGAGATAAGTATTTTCCAATATTTTCAATTTTTAAATACATATGGGCAAACATCACTGACTAAGTACTATCCCACAGACCCTGAGAAGATATAACCAGAAAGATAAAATATTACTTTCTTCAAATAATTCATTATCTAGCAAGAGTAGAAGTTTTATGATCTTGGTCAAACATCAAAATGTCTGGACCTCAGTTTCCCCATCATATGAATATTTGATGGTGCTTTAAAGGGGATTATGAAAACAAAATATGTAAAAGTGGCTAGTTCAGTATTTGGCACATTGTTGTCAATTAATAAGATATCATAAAGGATAAAGATAAGGTACAAATGTAAATACACAACTCATAATCTACAACGAGAGAACAAATTGATGATACAGATGGGGCAGGTAGGCAAGGTAAAGATGCACAGTAAAGGTGGGAATTGGACTAGGGTTTGGTAGATGAGAAGGATTGCAATTACCATAAAAGCAGGGTTGGGGTACTTCTATGATAAGGGAGGGTCATAGAAAAGCCACAAAAACATAAATAACAGGATGCATAGACAGAGTTATATTGCTATATAACTGCTTATCTTGCTAATATTATTTTACAAGTAAAAAAACATATATTAACCTAGGAAGGAGTCAATAAACTTCACCAGATTTCCAAAGGGATTCATGGTATATATATAAAAAAAAAATCAGAATCCCTAAATCTAAGAAACAGAGCTATCATCGAGAGACCAGTATTTATGGAGGAATAAAAATGAACAAGCCGAAGTAGTAATTTAGGAATTAAGCTAGGGAGCACTTGATTGTTATGTTCAAGAATTTGGAGTTTATTCTTTAAATAGTGGGATTCCACTGAGGTTTTTGAGAAAGGAATTATTTTTCCATTGATTTAGGTAGACAACTCAGGTAGCTATGAAAAAGGTAAGTTCTCTGAAGCACACTGAGTATAGATAAGCTCTTTCCAAAAAGCCAGGTTAGACATGAGAGCCAAAATAAGAATAATGACAGAAGGGATAGATAGGAGGAAATGAAACCTAGAGTCAAGACAGAAAAATTAATAAAAAGAACTCTGGGAATAATTCAATGTGAGTGCAAATTGAGATAGAAAAAGTGGTAAAAGTTAACTCGTGCATTAATGCTAGGTGAATTTTGACAGTTCACAACAGTACGTTCAGGAACATACACTGATTTTTGTGGGGTAAGACTATGGTAGGAAATTATAAATTTGGATTCATATTCATTGAGTTTGAGAACCTCAAGAAATCTGAGAAGCCTACCTGGCAACTGGAAAGATGAGCTTGGAATGAGGCGAATAGAATCAGAATGCAGAAAGTTGTTTTTGTTTTTAAATTTCAGATAATTTCTTACAAGTTGGGATGGTATAAATATGGGTAGTATATCTGGTTTAAGTGAATCACATGCTCTGAAGAGAGCCAACAGGTTTATTTCAATACCAGATAGGTATAAGATGTTGCTATCATTTGAATGTGTCTCCACTAAAATTTAGATGTTGAAATGCAATGGCCAGTGTGCTGGTATGAAGAGGTAGGGCCTATAAGAGGTGATTACATCACGATAATGCCTCCCATGGTGAATGGGATTAAGGTCCTTCTAAGAGAGGCTTCACGAAGCATTTGGATAGCTTGCCCTTCTGCTTTCCACCCTGTGAGGACACACATTCCTCCCCTCCAGAAGGTGCAACCCTCACCAGATAACCAAACCTGTCTACACCTTCATCTTGGACCTCCGAGCTTCCAGAACTATGAGAAAACAAAAGTCTCTTCTTACAAATTACCAAGTCTCTAATATTTTCTCGTAGCAGTGTAAAACAGACCAAGAGGTTAATGGTGGTGACAATCTTTAAACCATGAATAAGTAATTGATATTTAGAATGTATTCCTTAGGAATATAACATTATGTCTATGGAGTTCAGGTACACAACTCAATCCAAAGAATATTTTAATGATAGCATTGACATATTTTAATAATAGTACTTGAATGTAACTATACAGAAATCTAGCAAATACATATAAGGAAGTTTCAGTGAACAAATACCTTTGGAGGGACAAAGATACTCTCCCTATTTGTACTTCTGAAACTTGTGCAATAACCTGAACACTGACACCCCTTGCTCAAAGATCGAGTTTTATATTACCAGGAAAGCATCCAGGGGAGAGGGTGAAGAAAGGATGCTCTAGGATTCAGGGATTTGATGAGCCAGGAGGTGCTAATGATGACAGAACTGGTACACAGTTTCTCCAGCAACTAAGGTATCAAGAAAACATACACATACTCTGCAAAACCAGACATTTGTATTCTTTTTACTGCTAGCTTTATGGTCCTAGGAAAACCACCTCAAAATGTAGCCTAATTTATTTAGGTAAGCTATAAGAGGTCTCCTGCCATCAGCTTAATTAATTGCTTTGAAAAATGTAAATGTGTTTTGTGAGTTTCAGTGACCTCTCTTCTGCCTCTAACTCTGTAAGAGGGGATGGGATACGAGCTATGTATAAATGTATTAAGACTCCTTTATTATTAATGTTTTTGCAAAATTTGACTTCCAGCTCTGTAAGAAGAACCAGTGTGGAGAGGAACAATTTTCTGACAGGTCACACATTTCAAGTGGTATAAAACAAGAAAATATTTTAGAGTCCCCTTGCCTTTATTTATAACCAAATGTTTAGTTGGCTTTGAGAATAAATTTATGCATTCATTGAATGAATAAATATTTATTAAGTACTTACTATGTGCTAGGCACTAGGAAGACAAAAGGCTCATACAAACAATCCAGGTAGCTTTGGATCCATCCACAAAGCTTCTGCTCTTTAACCCTTTTCATTGACCGACAGTTTACTGAACACCTATGACATGCCAGGCACTTTGGAAGTGCTGGGAATAGAGAAGAGAACCAAAGAGACAAAGACCATGGAACTTCTATTTTAATGGAGGGAGACAAATAATATATATTAGAAAAATATAAATGAATAAATATATACTATACAAGTAAATTATATACCATGTCAGGAAGTATTACATACCATGGTGAAAAATGAGACAAGGTAATGGGCATGAGGATGTTTAAGGGTGCTACTATTTTAAATATAGTGGTCAGGATATGCCTCACTAAGCAGATAACATTTAAACAAATATTTGAAGGAGGTGAGGGAATACTGTTTGGGTGTTTGGAAGAAGAGTGTCAGCCGGGCGCGGTGGCTCACGCCTGTAATCCCAGCACTTTGGGAGGCCGAGGCGGGTGGATCACGAGGTCAAGAGATCGAGACCATCCTGGTCAACATGGT